CCCCCCCGGCGGCCTCCGCTGCCCTCGTCCGTGTGGCAAGAGAGGGTTTCCGCGCCCCGAAGGGAGAGGTGTCCCCGTCCTAAAATCGGGAGCGCGGAGGGGCAGCCCCGACATTCATCCCTCTTGTCCCTTTCAGCCCCCCGCCGCTTAGAAAAGCCTGGAGCCGAGGGGGGGAGCCCCGGAGCCGCTTGGGACTCTGGAAGACGACACCATGTAAGTTCCTATTTCGAAGCCACGCTTGAAAAAGATTGGCGGAGCGGTGTCAGGTAGCAAACTCTTCTGGGCAGGTGCCGGTCCCTCATGAAGCATTTTTAAAACGCCTCCAAATGGGAGCAGACGGTCAGCTCCTGCGGGATTTGGGCCTGGCGGAAATAGCACCGCTTGTGCTGCTCAGCGTTTTCCAAGGTGATTGGGGAGAGGACTAGCCAGGCTTGACCCTGGAAGCTGTTGAGTGTCAACTGTTCCTGCAAATCAGGTGCATAAATCGGTACTTAGAAATGTGATTTTATTTATTTATTTTTTAAGGAACCCATTTTTGCCTGGAGATTTGGCGTAAGCCGAGTAGGTACAAACAAGTTTTATTTGGAAGGTTCCTTACTCTGTTGCCTCCCTGGAGCATGTTTACTAACACACAGCAATGTTGCACAGCATTTAAAATAGTTTTCGACTCTGTACGTGCCCTTTTCCCCAGGCCATCTCTACTGCTGCCATAAACGGTGAGATGTGCTTACTGTGTCATAGACACTGCAGAGGGAAGTACAGTCGTCTTGGCCACGCTAATAAGTACACTTTTCTGCTGCCATGATCTGAAATTTCTGTGCCAAAAGCATATATGATAAATATGTTTTCATATGTCAGAAATAATAGGATAAATATAATGACCCCCCCCCGATGTAATTATGTTTTTTGAAGGTAAATAGCATGCATGTTCAATCTGGCATAGTATGATAGACAGGTTTGTTAACTGCCAATCTTTGCTATCATGACTTCATAGTCTAACCAATATATAATAAATACTTGAGGCTATAGTCAATACTTGAGTGTCTTGTAGGTTTAACAATAGTTGGCATTGCCTTTGAGTTATGCCTATACTCTTTTTTTTTAATTTTATTTTTTTACTTTGCTTGTTTGGCTGCTAAACAAACTGAACTACCGGAAGTGGATTTTTAACCTTATAGAGTTTGTGGGTCAGTTCTAGATGGATTAGGTGGCATGATGAGGTTTCAGATTGAATCCCATTCTGCTGTATATTGTCTCTTTACCAAATAAATGTCTTTTGATATTTTTTGTTTATGCATATAATTTGGTATTTATAGGAGTTGCATGGACATCTGTAAACACATTCCTTAGAATTATTGTTTTGATAATTTATGTTCACACTTTGTTTTAGAAGTCTCATGTTCAGTCTATATCTCACACAATTTCCAAATGTACAGTCCTGATTTTGAACTAGTTGTTGACAGTTTTGTAACATTTTTTATAAATTTGGTATGTAATTTTTAAGTGGCTGGAACTCAGTTGATTATGATGTTTATTTTCTATTACTGAAATGACTTAAAATTAAACCATAAGGACGTTTGACTTGTCATCTAATAATGAGAATACAGGAGAGAGCAAAAGATGAATTAATAAAAAACAGAGATGATGAAGGATTAATTTTGGCCAGTACTGTTTTGGAAGAAGCTCTGCTTAGAAAAAATGGATTTCTTTTTAAGTGACTCCATCACATACACGGTTAGGGAGGTGCTGTTTTTACCTGTTATCCATAAAAGTAATATTTCCTATTTTCAACATAAATACTTAAAACCTCAAAACCAAAACTCATCATTTGCTGGCATGTGTGCATTTCAGTAGTGCGTTTCAGGATAGTGTTTCATATATGGGTTTTCCTTGGTAACCAGTTGCTGATCAAGCGGATGTTGTAGAGGCTGACAGGTCAAAACGTTACTGTCTCTAACCTCTGTTGTGTGAAACCTAGGAAGACACTGGTGTGTGGCACTTGCGTTCTAAAATGTTTTCGTTATTGTTGTAAGCATCCAAAATATGGAAAGGATTTCAGCCTCCAAGAGTTGTAATATTTTTAAAAATAGACTTTTCTAGGACAAGTAACTTACTAGAGAATATAACCTTGCATGAACCAGGCAGAGATGGATCTCACTTTCTAGCTCACATAATGATCTTTCACTTATTCTTTTTGTAAAAAATATTACTTGAGTTAGAACCCAGTATAAACTAAAGGCAGGAGCACATAAATGAGCTATTGTGAGATGACCTCTGGTGTGGAGTTACAATATGTCAGCTACCTTGTGGTCAGAGTCTGCCACATGCTTACCCTGTGGAAAATGGATGGTATTTTGCCCCACTTTCACTGGAGAGCAGGTCACCTTGCATGGTCTGCAGTAGGGGAGTGTGCATATGGCTTTACCATGGAGGAGCTTATTTAAGGTTAGGGGTGAAAACGACAGCACCTCTCACTAACTTGTTCATATGCCTCTGTTCAAATTGCCTTTCTGTTTCACATTGGAGGAGTTTTTCACAATGGGCTGAACATTTTAAAAAATTGCTGTGTAGTAAAATACATTAATTTTAGCTGTAAATACTTTGTTGTTATCACATAAAGTGTGTGTGATAAACAATCCTCACACCTTTCTGTGATACAGGAAAGTATTATATTATGAGTGGGTAAACAGAGGCACAAGCAGAGTACAGCAATTTGCTGCAGATTACACAATTAAGTGGCAGTGCTGCAAATGTAATTCATAATTCTGAGAGAGAGACCCAGATTTGTGCATAAACGTAGTATTTTAAAATATGAGTAGAGTTTATTCGGATTAAAATATAACAGCAGCTTGTGACTTTAGGTTAAAAGCCATTAGGACAAGTCATGAGCTCATACTAGCCCCACATTTTTTTAGTAAGAACTTAAAAATATTCCAAGAAACAGAAAATGTTAAGGGATATATATGCATGAAGAAAAAGTGTTGGTTAGCCTCAGCACTTTTTATAGGAGGGGATTTTTGCGGATTATAGGTCTCATCAATTATCTCCCCAGAAAGTTGAATTCACAACTTACCCAGAAAACATCCTTTCTATATTCTGTATTTCATGTTTTATGGGTGCAGAGGGTTGGATCCCATTGATCATCCTGAACACTTTAGTCATGTAATTGGCCTAAAAACCATGAAAGTTGGTCCTTAAAGCTTGGCAAGTGGAAACAATCCTTACAAAAGCAAAAGCCATGTGAAAGAAAAGCAGTTCTTTCTTGCTTATGTTGCCAACATCAGAAGCTGTGTGTTCCTTCCTTCCTTCCTTGTGCAGGCCAGAGAAAGAAGAGGCCAGAGACTCGTGTGCTTGGGAAGGCCTACCTGACCAGCCTGTTGCCTGATGAGATGCACCTTGCATGCTGTACAATTTCTGATCAAACCTATACTGCTTGGCTTCAGATAACAAACAGCTACATGTGATTAAGAGCCTGAGCAATGAAGTAGTTGTCCTCGCGTGTAACAAGTGTGCTTGTTGCTGCAAGATGAGACCAAGAGACCTGTGTTTTGTTTCTTTGATACAGTCTTGTCTGAACCTAGGCATTTAACATTTAAAGGCAAACTAGAATGATGGTCTGGGAAACTAAATTTCTACTTTCTTCCTACATTTGAAAGCATTCAGTGCCTTTTTCTATTTATCAAATAGGTGGTGGCTGCTTAATACTTTAACTGTCTGAATGCTTCAAATATGCAATTTTCTTAAGTAAAACAAGAATAGTAAAAATTACTGGCCTATTTCCTCCTATGAATGGAAGTTCTTCATATCCTGAACAGGAACACCACAGGAAATGAAAGTGAAAACGGACATCTTGCTTCACTAATCTGTAGCTGTGACCTGGAGGTGAAATGAGGAATGGCTCCATTTCTGAAACCACTTTGTTCACTGCTTCTCTTCAGTCTGTGGAATTAGAAGGGATCTTCATGGGCCTTCAAAGGTGGTCCCCTGTTATTGCAGACACCATGTCAAGTATTGCCTTTCATAAAATGATCAACCTGTACCTTAAAAGTAGGTAGACCTTTTACCTGCAGAACTCCAGTTTGAGCTGTTCAGAAACTTCACTTTGTCCAGGGGTTAGGAACCATTTTTCAATTTGCAGCCTAAATTTCTTTGTGGCCAGTGGAAGCCATTTGTTCTTTGTGCAAACATCAATATAGGATGACTAATACATCCAAGGATTTTATTTACTTTTTCCATGACTGCATCACAGGAGTGCTTCATAGTCATTCTGTGATTAATCTAATGTGCCTAAGTCCTTCTTTTCCAACTGGTGAGCTCTTAGTATACAGGAGAAGTTTGTTATTGGTCCCTGAATCTGTTGCTCTAGTTTGCTAAGTCATCAAGTATTTTTCTTTGCAATATTCTGACCCTCCTTTGTATTAATGGTGCTTCCTAGCTTTGTTTCATCAGCAGATTTTTTTCCTGAAACTTCCCACAAGAGTGGATAGATGCTTGTCCTTGATTTCTGCATTTAATTCTTGCTTAAGCTACTTTAATAGTTAAAAACTATCACTGCAGTTGGCATTGAGGTGCAAACACATAGTCATTAGGAATTGGACTGAGACCAGTTCGGGCCAACTGCTGGGAAAATAAATGTGCCATAAGTCAAACAGCCATCAGATGGTAAAGACTGCTCATTTGGAGTCTCAATGGGAGTCCCTTGAGCAGAGCAATCCCATCCTTGGTCTCCTCAATGCAGTAGCAGTCAATTTTTGTGTAATACACCAAATGGAGTTTTGCTGAATTTGAATTTCACCTGCACCTGCTGTAAATTATTATTTATTTAGTTTAGGCTGGTAGCACTGCCTATAATTAAGGTGGTCTGACATCTCTCAGTAACAGGAGTGTCACTTGCAAGTCAATGGAAATGATTCTTCCAATCTGTTCAGCACTGGTGATGTCCCATCTGGCGTACTTTGTTCAGTCTTGGTCCACACCCTTTAGGAAAGATGTGGATGGACTAGAAGTCCGACAGAGAATGAGAAAAGTAATGAGAGGCCTGAGAAACAGAATTTAGGAGGAAAAGCTGAAAGAATTAGGGGTTGTTTAGTTTGGAGAAGAGAAGACTGGGGATGGGGCCGGGGTGCAGATTTTGATAAGTCTTCAAATACCAGAAGGGTGTTACAGAGAAGATGGAGATAGACTGTTCTCTGACTTGGGGACAGGACTGGGAG